CACCTGAATAAGTTCAAAGGACATTTCCTTTTTCTTATCTTGGCAGCATTATTGAGAGAAAAACAATAAAACCTCAGAAAATTCAAATTCGGACTGACATTTTACTTACATTAAATGACTTCCAAAAATTATTAGGAGATATTAACTGGGTTCAACCTGCTTTAAAATTAACCACTGCTGACTTCAGCCCTTTATTTCATATACTCAGGGGAGATTCATCTCCGTCATCCCCACGCTGCTTGACAGAGGAAGCCAAGACAGCCTTACATAAAGTTGAGGATGCCTTAACTTCAGCACAACTTCCTAGAACTGATTATTCCCTTCCTTTACAGGCTTTAATTTTTCCTACTACGCATACACCCACTGGGGTCATTTGGCAAGCTCCTGGAGTTGTTGAATGGCTATATTTAGCTCATTCTCCAACTAAAGTATTAACTCCTTTCCATGATTCAGTTTCCCAGTTAATAGCTCGAGCCCGCCTTCGAACAGGCCAGTTAGTGGGCCAAGACCCTAACCTTATTATAGTGCCATTTACAGCTATACAGCAAGACTGGCTCTGGCAACAATCAACAAATTGGCAAATTGCACTTGCTAATTTCTCCGGATAGGTTGGTAACCATTATCCAGCAAATAAGGCTTTACAATTTCTCTCAGTTACTACCTTTACCTTCCCAAAGATAGTGAAGTCACAACCTATACCTCAGGCATTAACCATTTTTACAGATGGATCCAGTTCTGGAAAGGCTGGATACTACTGCAGCAGAGGTGCAAAGGTCCTTCAAACCTCTTATATTTCAGCACAAAGGGTAGAAATACAAGCTCTTATTTATGCCTTGACAGATTTTGCTACGGAGCCCATTAACCTATATAGTGATAGTGCCTATGTGGTAAGTATGGCCAAAATTATTGAAACGGCTACTATAGGGCACACTAATTTGGAGGAACTCTTTCATTTATTTTTCAACCTTCAAAAAGTCATTAGAGAGCGACAATTTCCCTGCTTTATTGGTCATATACAATCTCATTCAGGTCTTCCTGGTCCGTTAGCTATAGGCAATGATGCTATTGATCACCTCCTTGCTGTAATGCAAGAGACTACCCCATTTTCTCTTGCCCAGTCTCCCCATGCTTTGCATCATCAGAATGCTGCTGCCTTGCGCAAACAATTCCACATTTCTCGGGAGCAAGCTCGTCAAATTGTTAAGCAGTGCTCTCAGTGTGTAATTCATTGCCCTGTACAATCACTGGGGGTTAGTCCTAGGGGTCTTAAACCTAATCAAATCTGGCAAATGGATGTCATCCACATACCGGACTTTAGTAAGCACAGATGGGTATATGTTAATATAGATACCTGCTCCTGCTTTATCTTTGAGACTCCCCAAACAGGGGAAAGTGCCAAGCATGTAATCATTGCTTAGCCGCCTTTGCGGTACTAGGTCCTCCCTTAGAGCTAAAAACAGACAATGGACCCGCATACGCTAGTTCTGCTTTTCAGCATTTTTGGCAGCAATATCGTATCCCTTACAACCCTCAAGGTCAAGCAATAGTGGAAAGAGCCCATCGTACTCTTAAAATGCAATTACTAAAACGAAAAGGGGGAGACGGATGTTATGTGTCACCTCAAAACAAATTCAGTCATGTTCTTTATACTTTTAATTTTTTGAATTGTGATGCAGAGAGTCGTACAGCAGCCGAAAGGCATCAGGCCTCCTGTACAACAGCTTCTTTGGGTTTAGCCTGGTGGAAGGATGCACAAACTAGACAATGGCTTGGACCAGATCCAGTAATGATGTGGGGCAGAGGTTGTGTTTGTGTCTTTCCAGAAGGAGCAGCGCAGCCAATTTGGGTGCCAGAGCATTATGTGTGTCACCACAATGGACCCAGAGAAGCTCCTTGTCCCTTTGCTCAAAAGACTGAGAGTTGTCCTGATGACAGCAAAGCAGAAAAAAGAAGAAAAAGAAGGCTACGCAAGGGTCTGAGGTGCCAACATGGGGTCAGCTGAAGAAGTTAACAACGGAGGCTCAGCAGATGATAGAAAAACAAGATGTGGAAGCTACTCCCTCAATCATGTTTCTGGCATGTTAGCATTGGTTAGCTGCCAGTCTTCAGCAAAGTCTTACGCAGCCAAGTCTGAGGACTCTAAGTAAATCAGCAAAAGAAACTTCCATTTAGAAGAAACTCACTTATTTCTGTTTTGCATTGGCATTGTCTTGTTATTCTTACTAGTTTTAAAAATGTGAACACATTGGCACTGTTTTGTTAATAGCCAGAGCTTTATGTTTAAGTTTTAAAGTGTTAACATGTCTGTAGTTTGGGTTTTGCATTGGCAGTGTTTTTTTTATTGTTTTAATAGACGGAGTTTTGTTCTTGAAGCTTAAGTTTTACTTTCATTATAGTAGCTTAAAAATAAAAAAAAGGGTGAGATGTAGGGTGCGGCTATAGGGTCAAGCCTTGGACTGGCCTATTGGCAAAGCAACAAACAAGTTCCAGCTTAGAGGTCACAGTCCTCTTAGCATAATTAGGCTTGACCTTATGACACTCCCTAGATCTTATCTGGGTAGCTAATGGGCTGAGGGAAGTGCAGCAAACCCTGCCAAAACATGTGAAACTCACAAGAACATTGTAACTATGGTGACCACTACCTTTTTACCTCTGGCTATAAAATAAAGGCTCAGCTTGCTGTCTGGATCTCTCTCTGTGGCCTCAGCCAGGCACAGGAAGATCCACCTAGACCCAGCTTATTCTCTTTGTCTGTCATTTCTTCATCCTTCGCCACCCTCCCTCAGGCTTTCAAACCCTTGGCTGAGCTGGCTCGGCCCATCATTCCATCCAGGCTCCAGCACCTCACTCTGGGCCACCACACCTCCCTGATTTTGTCCCCATGCCTTAGAACCAAATATTTGGGAAGGGAAGAAGCAGTAAGTGCTCTAAAAATCTTTTATAAACACCTTGTCAAGCACTGCAAATACACTGCAAAGATTTTGACTGGAATTGTATTGTATCTATAAATAAATTGTGGAAAAAAGACATTTATAAAACTGAGTTTTCCAAACTATTTAATAGTCTGTTTGGTTAACTCTCAATATTTAAAATATTTCCCATAGAGATGCTGTATTTGTTTTTTAGATTTATTCTCAATCATTTAATACTCTTGATCCTAGTATAAATATCACTTTAAAATTCTATTTTCTTTTTCTTGCCAGATTTAGAAATAAAATTATGTTGCATTTTGAGCTAGAATTCAGTGCCTTGCTAAACTCTTGTTTATTCTTATGTGAATATTTTATCTGCAGATTGTTTTGGATTTTCTATATGAATAGACTTGTACCAGTAATCTATAAATTATGATAGTTTTGGTTCTTCTTTTCCTTTTCTTAGAATTTTCTTTTTCTTTCTCACTGAAAGAATGGTCTCAAAAAAGGGGGTAATCATGTCTTGCGAAATTCCAAAGGAGAAACCGAATCTCTCTGTGTAATTATGTAGATAGCAGGGTTTTAAAAGGAGACATCCCTTATTAGTGTGTTTGTTTCTCTTGCTCTATAACAAATTATTATCAGTAGAAGTGGAGTTCTTGGGGTGCTGCTGGAAGAAGCATTTCTCGAGACCCCCAGGGGAGGATGAGATATGGTAGAAAGGTTTATTTCTGTGGAATTACACCCCTGGGTTTCCAAACTCCCATTTCCCTTAGTCCAGTCATAGAAGAACAGCTGGGGTTGCAGTGGAGCGGCAAGCAAAGCCATTGTCCAGAGTTTCCTTTCCATGTTGGAGCTGGGTCCAGTTCAGCGTCAGGCTAGTCACAGTTCATTAGTCCAGTGTGTGGGGGGGTTCCACATGGAACAAAAGGGCCCCACAAGCCCAAAGTCTCACAAGTCCCAAGACAGCCAAGAACACAAGTGAGCGAGCACCTTTGTTTCAGGGTTGGGGAACTTTGTTCTGCCAAGGGCCATTTGGATATATATAACATCACTAGTGGCCCGGTGCATGGATTCATTGTACATTGAAAGGAAATTAATTAAAAGAAATATTTTAATATTGCTATTCACCCTTTATAATAGAAGTGTCAGAGACAAAAGAAAATTAGTAAAATGTATATGAAAAGAATATATAAATTGATTAATAAATAAAAAATAACAAGATGACATAACAACAACAAAGACATGATATAAAAACAACCAACACATGAATATAAAAAAACAAAAACATGATATAAAGACAAGTGATAAAAATAATGACTGATACAGTTATTCTGACACTGAGGCCAGTGTCAGATGGGGACAAATCAATTCTTGGAATCAGAACAACCTCTCTTCCGCAGATTGTGTTAATACTTCAGCTTCTATTATGTTAGGTCACAATCTTTTGATAATAAATCTAGTACCATTACAAAGACCCCATTTACTATTAAGATTTCTCAGTATCACGGTGATTGCACCTACTTTCAATTCTAATTTATGACACAGCACTCCCAGTGGAGTAATACTTTTTCCCATCAAATTTCTTAAATTTTCCTTTTCAGCATCATCTGTTGAATCTAGTATTATTGTCAATTACACTGTCATCTCTGAGTCTTAATGCAATATCCATTCCCCAGTCTTTTTCACCATGTGGGAAAAGAATAGGATACATCATTACATCTAATGTAGGAAACAGGATACTGATTTGTTTCATTTTAGTGGCATTTGGAGTATTGGGATCTGATTTACAATGAATGAGCAAGTCCTTTTCAAAAGGAGGTCCTCCATTTTCCTTTTTGAATATGACAGCTACTTCGGTTACACATGGATAATTATATCTACCCGGATCACTATTACAATCATATTTAATCACCATTGTTACTTCTGTGCACCACCACCGCTTTCTTTTAGCTTCAGAATGTCAACAAAAACAACCAAATTCATGATCGACAATGATGGATCGCAAAACACGTGTAGGATTGGCAGCACCAGCAAGAGCTGGTCACCGTCTGCGGAGTGATCGGGCCCCCACTCGCACCTGCCTCAGCCTGGCACTGCCCACTCACCTGCTCCACCATCCTGCCATGGTCCCGCTCTCATCGGGGCCCATAGGGGCTGGTAGCACCTCCACTGCTGTCCACTGCCAGCACCACATCCCAGACCCTGCAGTGTTCCGTGCTGCCCTCTGGTGTTCAGCGCACATCATAGCAAGTGATGGAACTCCCGGTGGAACTCCTGAGGGGACAATTTGCATATTATGCTTTTATTATATAGGATTGGGCCTGAGGATTTACATGAATTTGGGCAGGGGAAGACACAAGCATTTGGTGTATAGCAAGGTCATTCAAAGTTCTTGGCCATGTGGGCTTAGACACATGGCTGCCTACTTCATGAGGCCGGCAAGGAGAATATCTCACTTTAGGGTGGGCTCAGTCTTCTTTTTCTTTCTTTTTTTTTATATTTGACTTATTCATTTTTTATTTTAAAACCCATATGGTTTTATAAACCGATATCTCCTCAATAAATTCAATGAGAGAGAGAGGGAAAGAGAGATTGAAAAAGAACGATAGAAAGAAATGAAAAGATTAGAGGCCTGGTGCACAAAATTTGTGCACTTGGGGGGCCTCAGCCTGGCCTGTGCTCTCTTGCAGTCCAGGACCTCTCAGGGGATGTCCGACTGCTGGCTTAGGCCCCCTCCCCAAGCTGGCAGTCAAACTTCCCTCTTGCAGTCTGGGACCCCTCACTCCTTACCACTCACCTGCTTGCTGCTTCTTACCGTGGGGGGGGGGGGGGGGGAGGCCCCCGCCACCACAGCTGCACTGGCCAGACCTGAGTCTGGCTTCTGGCTGAGCAGTGCTCACTCTGTGGGAGCGCAGTGACCACCAGGGGGCAGCTCCTGCATTGAGTGTCTGCCCCCTGGTGGTCAGTGTTTGTCATAGGGACCAGTCTTTTTGCAGTTTGGTCAATTTGCATATTTAGACTTTTATTGTATGGGATAAGATGATCCATGGGTACTCGCCTCATTTAGGTTTCTGTTATGTCCTCCCTGGAAGGGAGGAAGGCTTGGGAGGACAAGAGGCCCCGGGACATCTTGGGCCTGCCAGGAGCAACTCCTGGGAATTTTCACTTGTGAGTGGCCCAGCTGGTCCCCTGTTCCGGCCACGGAGGGAAAAAGATTTTCCTAGCCCCCCTTCTGCTGCCTGCTCGGTGGAGCTGTGCTGGCCCGGAGCGGGTTCCCCCCGCCCACCCTGGACACAATAGGCCCTCCAGGAACCAATGGGACGCCCTTGCTGCTTGCGATCCAAATTGGTCCCTCTGATGTTCTGGCTGGTTGTCGGGAGCCACCTGGCGGTTGCTTTTATTGTGGGGATCCTGCTGGTGGTGCTGGTGTGTGGGTGCCTGGCCCTTTCTGGGGAGATTGGACCTGCAGAACCAGCGAGGCTGAAACGCAGGCTCCTTCTGTTGTCCTCCCCTTGTTTCCCTTCTTGGCGGCCAACAGTGGCGGCTCCCATCCCCTCTTGCAGATCAAGGTGGTGAAGGGCGCTCTCCCGCCCGGGCTGGGCCCCCGCCAGACAGGACGGACATTCCTGGCGAATGGGACCCCTGTTCTTGCTCTGCCCCGGGCCCTCTCCTCTCCGTGGGATGGCGGTGTGTGGAGGGGAAGGGCTGCGGAACCGCCCCACCTGGGTTACAGGCCCCCGGTCTAATGCAGCTGTGCCTCCCGCGCCTCCCTCCCCGCAGCGGGTGGGGACGTCCCGCCCTCGCACCTCCCTGTTGGGCCAGCTGGTGCTGCTCGGCCTTGGCCCTCGGTGG